TCTAAGATGTGTTCAATGCTATAACAAGATCTGTTCCTTAGTGCCCAATTTATAAACCCTTTATAAACCTTTTTCTTGTAAAAGCAAATCCTCTTAGCAACAACTTATGATGAAAYGACTCGTACAGCTGAGCAGTTTTACAGAGGTTGTGATATCATGTTAAAGAGTTGCATTTAGATTATGAATTCAGCTATTTTTAATTACATAATTAGAACTGTCAGTTTATTAATTTAAGAGGTTGCTCAAAGGTTTGCATTGATGTGCTCCAGGTTGTTTTATCGACGCTATTGTGGGTTTTTGTTTTGTTAAAAAATTACAAATCCGTAAAACGTAAATAATATTTATATAAAGACTTAAATAAGCTGCATTTTGAACATGTATTTCCTCAGTATTCGATATTAAAAGAATAAAAAAGTTTTTTGTTATGAATGGATTAGAGGTCTGCAGAATTCCCTCCCATTGATGAATATCACAATTATATTTTATGTTGCAACAGGAGCAATTTAGACCCGTGGGATCAATACACTGATGTGCAGATCTGGGAAGCTCTTGAGAAAACACATGTAAAAGAAATGGTAAGCAGTTAGACGATCAAACTGTAAATAATACTTTCCACGAGTGAACCACTCGTCCTCATAGCTCTGTGTGCTCCTCCTCAGGTCAGCCAGCTGCCTCATTCCCTCCACTCAGAGGTGACGGAGAACGGAGAGAACTTCTCAGTGGGAGAACGGCAGCTGCTCTGTGTGGCCAGAGCCCTCCTGAGGAACAGCAAGGTGATGAATGCGTAATGCTGCCATCTTCTATTTACTTTTCAAACTTGTCTTCTCGCGTTGGAGTGGGTGATGATCTCTTCACATTCAGTTAATGAGAAAACAACGGCCTGTTTGCATTTCCTTCTGAATAGGATACCACTGCCACCTAGTGTTGATCATCTTAACTGCATCATTAATGAAGACTGGACATTTGGTTTATTCTAGAGCTTTGCATAGGTAAACCATGAGTTTAGGAATGTTTATTTTTGTGTGTGTGTTTTTAGATTCTTATTTTGGATGAGGCAACAGCAGCCATCGACACAGAGACGGATCGTCTCATCCAGGAGACCATTCGCTGTGAGTTTAGCAGCTGCACCACTCTCATCATCGCACATCGTCTCAACACTGTGATGGGCTGCAGCAGGATCATGGTCCTTGACAACGGCCAGGTGTGTATTTATGCGACTGACTGAACAGTTCTGCCTGTTGACTGAAACTCATACACAAGTCGAAACACCTCCCAGTTGATGCTATAAACTGGTTGCTTGGAGTTGTTTTGAAACAACGTATGCAACCAGAGAACATAAAATCCTCACAAATGATTGTTAGGTCCTCCTTTTTGAACTTCATTAATGCCTGGTTCACATGGCAAGGTTTTAAAATTGTCGGCTGATTTTCAAAGACTGAGACTCATCCCACACATGAGGTTAAAAATCATTGATATAACAGGTTTGGTCCTGCAGTGTGTGGTGTGCAGCCGCATGGCAAAGACAACACACCATACACACAGATTTCACTCACAAACRTTCGGATGACAGACAGGAAATCTTGTGAGATTTCCCGAGATCAAACGTGAGTTCAGMGTAAATCAACTTGGCCGACAAGGAAGAAGCGATGTTGATAGTTTGTGGATTATTTTTTACCAGAGAAATAAATAAACGTGTATCTTCTGTATTTTATATTCTCCTCCTTGTATCTGTCACCTCGCTTTCTGATTGGCTACACATNTAAACGTGTATCTTCTGTATTTTATATTCTCCTCCTTGTATCTGTCACCTCGCTTTCTGATTGGCTACACATCACATTCAACAGGCTGCGAGCTCATTTGTCCACACACACACACACACACACACACACACACACACACACACACTAGGATATTGGGCCAAGATAAGCCAACATGTTGAATATCCCCAATTTGAGATCGGAGTGGTCCCAACATCCTTTTGACYTGACTAGACCACMTTYAGCACATCACACATRGCAGGAATATCTTCTWTGATGATCTTTAGAGCCATCACAATAATCAGAGYRTCCTTGAGATTGTTGGAAGGAYAAAATCGGGCCAAAGCTCTGCACAGTTATTTTTCCATGTGAACCTACATATATGAAGGAAATGAAGATGTTTTTCACATGTGTCAAACTCCGGTCCTCAAGCTCCGCTATCCAGCATGTTTTCTTGTTTCCCTGCTCAAACACACCTAATTTACATGAATGGACGATTAACAGGCTTCAGAATTTGAAGAGGTAATTGAATCACTGAATCAGGTGTGTTGGAGCAGAGAAACAAGGGAAACATGCAGGATGGTGACCCTCGAAGATCTGAGCCTGACCGCTCTGCCCTAAATGATCCAATACTTTTTTCTTACAGGATATAATCAAATGTTTTTCTGGTTTAATTGTCTTAAAAAAAGTGTTGACAACCAAACCTTTAATTTGAGTGTTGTTGCAAAGAATGTATTTATAAACTTGACAAATGTTGCAACATTTAAATCTACAAAGGCACAGTCAAATTTATTCTGTATATAGTCCTTATTTTGAATTCTACAGTAAAAACTTGGTATGAGGACAATGGTTTTCTTATATTAAAAAGCTTTTTAATGTATTGCCACTGGGAAGGTTGCGATGATACGTCCAGATATGCAGTAAATTGCTGATTCTGATTTTGCTTTATTATTTTCTTCCTCACAGATTTTGGAGTTTGACTCTCCTGCAGCACTGCTGGCAGATGAAAACTCCAGATTTCGATCCATGGTTGAAGCATCAGAAGGCCAAAGCTGATATAATGAAACACACTGGAGCTGAGTGCTGTGGGGAAGAGGGGAAAAAAATGTAGTCAAGGACGTGAATTGCAATAAAAACACACACAGACAAAATTTTCCCCAATTCTGTCATGATGTGGAAGAAACACTGTGATGGCAGCCATGTGTAACAGGGTCTGTTTTTGGTCACATCAAAGGTTCAGGGACTACGTTTAGTCATGCCACACATCAAATCTGTGTGCAAACTGAGATTTGCCTGCTGTTTGCAGTTGTTATAGGAGTTCTCTTTTTCTTTTTTTCTGAAGGCCAAATTATTACCTGCAAGAGAAACGAAGTTCAGACTCAGAAAACAGCACTTTATGTTTTACACGGTGCTTCTTTTTCTTTTGAGGCTCAGTAATCACTGAAACTCAAAATTAGTTTTAGTCTTTTGTTTCGTTGGACCTCAAAGTGCAGGAATTTACTTTGACCAGATAATGGTGTAATATTTATTCTTTTAATAATATATTGTTAGAACTTATTTTTATGTGAATTATTCAATACAGAGTCTCTAAAATAGTCACTTGTTTCACATTCCTACGAGGCACTGTCATGCTGAAAAAGTTTTTCTGCAATCTAGAGGACTAATTTTGTGTTATTACAGGTGAGATGTGTGCCTGGTTCTATTTTTGAATAAATATRTTGGAGTCAGCCATGTAAGCATGCTTTTTTTAGACTGCATGCAAGCACGTTTTTACGAAATGAGCAAATATTTTCAAATGCTGGAGTTAAAAATTTGCACATTTTATATTATGTTTGAAGTTTTACAAGCTTGGTCAATCTGATGTTGATCAATGTATATTTACTTGTTGCAATTTGGAGGTACAGTAGGTTTTTTTTTTCCAACACAATGATGTTAAACATCAGGACTTTAAATGCTGTTTTAAAGGTCTGAGGAATGTAGACTTCTGCCTTATAGACAATCAAGAAAAGTGCAATATCTTATTGCTTTGATACATTTTCGAGATTGCCTTTGTACACTTTACTTTTAAGTGTTTGTATAATGTGAAGTTCTTTAATAAAATATTTTTATAAATGACTTATGAGTTTTTTTTAATTTTATTTTACATGTTAAAGGGAACTTGGCATGTGAAAAGATCTAAAACAAGTTTGATGTTTTGAACCAAAGGACCCATAGTTGTATCATCTGGAGGGATGTTTSTAGGAGAAAAACAAAGAAATACTGGAAGAAAGATTTTAGTTTTTGTGTTTTTAAAAAAAGTTATGTCCATCATGTGTGAGATATMATGTGGACATTAAACATTAAATAACGTTGGAGAAAAAAAACGCAGTTATTTCTGTTTTACAGTGGTCCTTTCAACAATTAGAGACCCTGAGATTCCTGTAAACGTTCTGATATCTTCAACCATCTTTTGAACCATTAGTAAACCTTTTTGAAGAATTTTGAGGGATCAGTCGTTGAACGTTCCTCGAGGGTCCTCTTAAGTTTTAAAAATACCTCTTCAGGAATCTTGGTAACAGAAGGTCTTACACGATTCAAAGAGCAACCTTCAGGAAATGCTTAGTGATGGTTCTTTAAAGATAACCTTGTGATTCTCAGTGACCTTCACTCAATATGGATACTTTTTTTATTCATCAAAGCATAAGCAAGTTGTGAAAGGACAGRATTTTCTAAAATCAAAAAGTGTAAATATTGCACAAACAAGTAATTTGTCCAGACTTTTCTCCAAATTAGATTTGAACTGCACAAAACACCCATAGTTACCCCAGCCCAGTCCTGCCATTAAGTGTTGCAATAAAAATACACATTTGAAGTTAATGTTGTTTTTGTTTGCTTGTTTATAAGAAAGTATTTATCAAATAGAATAAAAAATATAGGATGTCAATCACAAATTCAACAGTGGTAGAAAATGTATCTAGTGAATAATACCACAAAATAATCTTAATTTAGAATACATTCTTTAATCGACATGATTACTGTTTCTTCTACCAGACTGCAATATAATTTTACAATTTTACATCATAAAACGAGACTGGTTTAAAAAAACGCTGCATCCAAATGGTAATGTAGGAATTATAGAACAGTGTTAATTAAGTCTACATTTATTTTGAAAATCGTACCGGAAGTGTGTCTGGTCGCTCCGCTCAGGCTGCTAGTTGTTGTAGTTCTGCCGGGGTTTGCTTCTTGAGAGGGGGAGAGCTTCGGCTGTGATGCCGCTGGAGGATGGCTGCTTTCGGGATCTTAAGTTACGAACACCGGCCTTTAAAGCGGCCCCGGCTCGGCCCCCCAGACGTTTATCCTCAGGATCCAAAGCAAAAAGAGGTGATGTGTTACCGTTTGGACTATGACAGTCGAGAAACTACGATTTCGTGGATAAAATTTGTAGGCAAAAAAAAAAAAAAAAAAAACCAGAAAGCTGTGCGAGCTAACAGCAGCTAGCTTATAGACGTTTCGGGCCTCGCTGTAACAATGAGCAGCTCCTAGTTGTCAAATTGTTTGTCAGATTAGTAAAAATAACAACAATAATGGAAACAACCAGCTTGTTTCATGACTGAGTTAGCTTATTAGCTGACATATAATTTACAACGAACTGCTATTACTATTTTCGGTCTGTGATAGATAAAAGCAAACGTAAGGTATTTAAATTATGCCTGACTTTAAATATCTGGGTGAGTTTTGATATTATGTTTTGGCCTAACTTATTACAAGCCCTGCTTCTTCTTTATCATTAATCTAAAACAATATTTTAAGAAGCTTAACTTTGTTGTTTTTTCTCCCAATAAATAATTTTGTAGCTTTGAGGTTTCGGTGTTGTTTGCTCAGTGCACGCAAGAGGGTTTCGTCTGGGATCTGAAATTACAAGGTTGACACTGTTATATTTGCATGATTATTTCTGTAATTCCACTCTTACACACCTGGTTTCAGGATGAATTGACTGCTCTGAACGTGAAGCAAGGATTCAATAACCAGCCGGCTGTGTCTGGTGATGAACATGGMAGTGCCAGAAATGTCAACTTCAATCCCTCAAAGGTAATGACTAACCTAATCATGTAAAGCTCTTTGAGTTGTCTTGTTCCTGTGCTGTACAAATAAACTTGCCTTGCCTTTTTAACAGTGATTTCTTTGTTCTTATTCTTTTCTTTTTCTTCCTTTAATTGCTTTTCAGATCAGTTCAAACTTCAGCAGCATCATTGCGGAGAAGCTGCGATACAACACATTTCCAGACACGGGGAAACGTAAACCGCAGGTCAACCAAAAGGATAATTTCTGGCTCGTCACAGCAAGGTCACAGAGCTCCATTAATAACTGGTTCACGGATTTAGCTGGGACTAAACCACTTACGCAGCTGGCTAAAAAGGTAAGAAGCGAKGATGGGAGAGTCGGTGCTCTCGAGGCATGATGCAAAAGTGGTGGGAGGGAATCTTAAATTTAAGCTAAYTTGAAGGTAAATTGCAAATYGGTTGTTTGAAAGATGGAYCAAATTTGAGTTTTAYGTAGGGGTGCACTGATAAATCGTCTGACCGATTTATTTGCACCARTTTCCTTAATTTTGGGAGATCAGAGATAAGCCAATACTTAGATAAGATCGGCTTCTCATCTGCCTTCAAAGGTCAGAAAATCAGCTACTGTCCCCGTTTGCTCTGCTGTGAACACGACCTAATGTCCAGTTAAAACAAGSGTATTGTTCAGTGTGCTTCAATAAAATAAGACTGGAACATTGAACGTGTATTGTGACCTGACAGTGTCAGCTATTTAAAACATTGGTTTTGKCCAAAATCGGAATCAGAAGGTCAGATTTATTAAAAATTAATTATTGTCCAGAAAACTGCAATTGGAGCATCTGTAGTTTTGTGTCATCAACTTAGAGCTGGGCGGTATGACCTAAATTTTATATCACGGTATTTTCAACAATTAAACCAGTTTCACAGTATTTGACGGTATTTTTTTTTCCCTCTCAGCTCAGCTGATAATAAAATGTTCAAACTTTGTTTATTGACTTTTTTCTTTTACTGTACCTCTGTATCACTGTTTCCCTTCTCTTCTACATCTTTTCTTTTCCTGGTTGTAGACAGTAATCATGCATTTTAATCTGATCATGAAGGGTTGAGAAAAGATCATTATCGGGTCAATCGTCTGTTAATAAAACTTAAAAGGACGACTCACCTTGCACACCAGTCAACTTCGCTCTACTACAAAACTACATCCCCCGGGCTTTTCACAATAGAAGCACGTTAAAATCTCTATGCATTAACGTCTCCATTACAACATCGCGAGTTAAATCTAACCGTGCACGTCACTGAAGAGTTGTTTGCTACATTCAGCAGTGATGAAAACGGGRTGTTTGTTTTATGTCAGTCAATATAAGCAGCTGAAACACCTGCCGCTTCCAGTTACTGCAGCGTTAGCATGCTAATGCCCTTAGCGGTGCTGCGGGAAACATGTCCCCCAGGAAACGGTTCACTGGCGGCCGCGGTGAAACGTTCCGCACGTGTTCAGGCTATGTAAACCGGTATGTCCTGCATTCAGATAATTCATATCATAACAAAATTAAAAACCGGTTTTCGGTACAAAACGGTATACCGCCCAGCACTACATCGACTGTACTTTTAAAATGTGCAACAGCAAAGCATTTTATTGAAAACTCTAGTAGAGGTGGTTGGTTTATTTAACCAAAAAGTAGCTGTGACTTGACATGTCTCTTCAAGCATGCTGTGTTTCTGATGTCTTCTGTGTGTCCATTTTATATTAATACTATAACTTACAGATATTTATTTGGTTGCACAGTATTTTAGGTTGTTAATAGGCTCCCCTATCGTAAATGGTAAATGGACTATACTTGTATAGCGCTTTTCTATCCATCCAGGACACTCAAAGTGCTCCACACTACAATCTGTGTCCTCATTTACCCATTCACACAACACTCTGTTAGGTCTCTACAAAGCTAACATGTACAATCATCTATGGAGACTGAAGCACTATTTACACTACATGCGGTCCGTCTCTGCTCCGCTGCGATCCGACCTCCACAGCAAATACACACCCATTATAATCAATGACAGTGTTTACACTGGCTGTGCACGGCTGCGGTGAGCAGACGGCGATCCGTCAAAATTAGAACAGATTCTATTTTTGCTGCGCCGGAGTCGATTTTTAAAGATTACGTTGCACCAACAGGAAAAGAATGAAAAAATGAATGAATGAAAATATCTTTATTTCAAAACAGATAAAACAAACAAACAAAAATGTGTATATATCTATACACACATACATGAATATTTTGTATTGGGCAGCTTACAAGACCATCTGTATTGAAAAGGAGTAGGTTGAAGACTTATATTTTCCTACCCTAAAAGAAACGAGCACATCATCCGTATTTTCAAAATAAGACACTTTTAGGCTGGATAATTTGTCGGATTAATGTCGAAATTGCAGCTATATTAATAAATATACGGATATATTTCGACACAAATGCTGTCAGAATGTATCGTTCTGTTTGGGAAGCAGATAGAAACATGTAGCATGAAGCATATGTGTACACACACAATACACATGGATTTTATTTTGAAATCAGAAGTTTCAGAAAGCCGACAGCGAGACAGTTTCAACATAGATACCAAAAGCCTTTATATCGTTTTCAGCTGTGTTTGGAGTTCGTCTTTCACAGAATTAACTATTTTTTGCTGTGACTTCCACACTTATCACTGAATTTATCGCGYGATCTCCTTCCTGCACATCTGTCAGGAGAAAGGCACACAGAGATATGGAGTGCTCCAAAGTTTGATGCTGGAAAAGTTTGAAAATTTGCCTTGAAATGCCTGAAAAGTGCTTGAATTTTACTGTGGGAAAAGTAAACGAACCCCTAAAAAGTTCACCCACAGAAAGATTCTCACAGAATTCTTTACAGTCAAGTAACCAGCAACCATATTTTACTTGAGCTAATTTTGAAAATCATTTCCTAGTTTTGTGTGTTTGGCTTGAAAAACTGTATTCCCCTTTTGTACTCAAATGTTCTCATGCTGGAAATTTACATAATTAGATGACATCATTTTTTAGTTCCGGCTTTTTCCCAACATTTTTATTGGAATATCGTTAAGCAATTTTGTTCACTTTGTTTTTGTGAACATTTTACACAGTGCGCCTACTTTTTTTTYCTAAATACTTCGTTTGCATATGTGTTAACACAGCTCAGCATTATCTGCTTATTGATTTGTTTGAGCTCGGTGTGTTTCCTACCTGAGCGCTGCGCAAACAGCAGCTGCCTAGATGATCTGAACATTTAGAAGACCATTAGGAGAAAATATGTTGATTTTTGTGGAAGTATAAAGTTTAGCACTGGTTCGTTTTAAAAAAAATCATTCAGGGAGCAGAACAACTCGACTGAATTATTCTGTTTAGTACTGGAAAATGAAAACAAGTAAAAAAAAGGCAACTAATTTGGTGTTTTAATGGCTTTTGCAATAACACTACATTTATGCGTCTGCGTAAATTAAATGTATTTTTGTCCTTTTWGGGCGTATCGAACTAAAACCCAATTACTCTCATTGTTTGCAAACAGCAGTAGCTTTTGTTGTTGTTCATTTACATATAGTTAGTTGAGGATTTAATATTTTCTGGAACGTTGAGGTGTTTTTGTTCTCTCTGAACACATTATTCTCATAAGAAAAGCTGTTACAAATGGTACCAATAATAATTGTTTTTTTAGCTTTCATTAAAATAATAAAACAAAAATAAGTGTTTTGTTTTTTTAAGTTGCCATTTACAGC